TGAAGGTGAGTGTGGAGCTCAAGGTGTTGTTCTATTTTTTTGTTTTTTTTTGAGACCAAGTCTCACTCTGTCACCAGGCTGGAGTGCAAGGGTGCAAACTCAGCTCACTGCAACCTCCAGCTCCCTGGTTCAAGCTATTCTCCTGCCTCAGCCTCCTGAGTAGCTGGGATTGCAGGCACGAGCCACCATGTCCAACTAATTTTTGTATTTTTAGTAGAGATGGGGTTTCAACATGTCACCCAGGATGATCTCGATCTGACCTTGTCATTCCCCCGCCTCAGCCTCCCAAAGTGCTTGGATTACAGGCATGAGCCACCACGACTGCCCAGTTTAAGGTGTTTTTCACAACAGTAGTTCTCTGCTGACTCATGGCCGCACCATAAAATCTGTGTTGGAGGCGAGGTCTTTCCCAGAACCTAATTTTTTTCTGACTTCTTGGATTGGGATGATGACTTCAGCTTTTCTCGGAAGGCCTTGGTCACTGGGCTGGCTGATGAAGCAAAGAATTGCGCACCCTGGGTCTCAGCCCCCGGCGTTTTGAATATTCTTGCATTAGTGACTGGCTTGGGTCCAGTCTCCACCAAGAAGCCGCTTCTGACCCTTGGACAAGTCTTTATTCCTCTTTAGGTAAGATTCTGGATTCTGCCATCCTGTTTGGGGTCCCTGAGCCTCTTTGAGACTGGAAGGATACAGGGCGGTGGCAGGAGAATAGAAACTTCCAGGCTGCAGTTGTACCTGACTAGCAAAAGCAAACTGTTGAAACAGCCGCATAAGCTATTGGCTGATAAGACCCTGAAAAATCAGGGTGTGGGCCAAGCCGGCTAAAACCAACGGGACCCAACCTAGGACCTCATTATACACTCATTAACATACTAAGGCGTCACGACAATTCCAGGAACACCCATATTTGGTGTAAAAATGGGTGCCACCACAGTTCTGAGAAGTCTCCACCTTTTTCCAGAAAACTTCATGCATATTCCATTTCTTAAAGAAATCCATACAGATAGAAATCCCAAGCCCCATTGCGAAGTCCACCCATGATCCCCTTTCTTGAGTGTGTATGTCACAGTAAATCTCCACACATTCGTTATTTTCCAACTTTTTCTTGAATTCATTCGTGAGGTGGTGACACCACCTTTGCAAATTATCACTGAGACAGTGAAAGAGATCCAACTTAAACAACTGCATTTTGCTTCTAACCTTCAAGCTGTCCTTGTTCATTCCTGGGCGTAGGCTGAACTAACGTTGGGAGGAACTTAGTTTATAGTTTAAAACAAAGATGATAACAGCCCTTTCCCAAAACAAACCTCCTTCTTGCCTGGGGAGTAGACTACTATGATTAGAAATTATGGTTTGGGAGTCATGCAGCTGGAGGCTGCAAGATTCTGACCCTCCCTAAACTGCTCCTAAGACCAGCACTTGAGATGCTGTGCAGACCCCGCACTTGATGGCTCAACCGGCACCACCCGATGGAGAAACTGGACCACCTGATCTGGTAACCTCACTCAGGAACTGACTCGGTGCAAGATAGTGACGCCCCATGATTTCATCTCCAACCCAACCAGTCAGCACTCCCCACTCACTGCCCCTCTCCTCCCACCAAATTGTTTCTGATCCTGGGCCAGGCACTGTGGCTCACGCTTGTAATCCCAGCACTTTGGGAGGCCGAGACAGGCAGATCACCTGAGGTCAGGAGTTCAAGACCAGCCTGATCAACATGGAGAAACCCTATCTCTATTAAAAATACAAAATTAGCCAGAGGTGGTGGTGCATGCCTGTAATCTTAGCTACTGGGGAGGCTGAAGCAGGAGAATCACTTGAAAGTGGGGGGTGGGGGTAGCATGGAGTTTGCGGTGAGCCGAGATTGTGCCATTGAACTACAGCCTGGGCAATAAGAGGGAAACTCCGAAACTCCCTCTCAAAAACAAACAAATGAAAAAAAACCTCTGATTCCCTGAATGCCCCCTGGGGCCACTGATTTAAGTAGTAATAAAACGCCCCTCTCCTGCACAGCGGACTCTGCATGCGTTACCCTCTCTAGTGCAATTCCCCTGTCTTGAGAAATCAGCTCTAGGCAGCCATTGGGCAGTTACAATTGTGACAAGAGCCTGCACACAGGCGGGGGACCAAGGTCCCATGGGTGTTTGGGGACCTCCTCTAGCCAACTGGTGTCATTTTGGGATCTGTGAAGTAATAAAGTGGGCTCCTGGACTGTTTTTAGCTGTTGATAAAAAGTCAAACTCTGCAAAACAGTTGAGATTTATTTTGAGCCATAACCAATGACACAGCCCCATGAGATCCTGAGAACATGTGCCCAAGGTGGTTGGGCTACCGCCTGGTTTTACATGTTTTAGGGAGGCAAAAGCTTCACTTGAGCCCAGGAGGTCACGGCTGCAGTGAGCTGTGGTTCACACCAATGGGTATGCTTTGGTTTGTTCTGGTAAGGTTGAACAACCCAAAGAGAGGGGCTTATAGGTCATAGGTGGATTCTGTGAAAGGAAAATCAATCTTGGGAGTCCCAAGTCCCTAAGCTAAAGGGAAAAGTCAAGCTGGAAGCTGCTCAGAGTAAACCTGCCTCCCACTCTATCAAAGTCATCCCTCAGCTCAAGGAAATAAATGCGTACCTGATTGTTGGAAAGGCTAATCAGAAACTCAAAAGAAGGCAACCATTTGTCTCTTATCTACCTGTGACATGGAATCCCCCTCCCTGCAAGTTGTCTCATCTTTTTTTTTTTTTTGAGACAGGGTCTTGCTCTGTCACCCAGATTGGAGTGCAGTGGTGTGATTTCGGCTCACTGCAACCTCTGCCTCCAGGGTTCAAGCAATTCTCCTGCCTCAGCCCCTTGAGTAGCTAGGATTACAGGTGATTGCCACCACGCCTGGCTAATTTTTGTATTTTTAGTAGATATGGTGTTTCACCATGTTGATCAGACTGGTATCAAACTCCTGACCTCGTGATCCGCTTGCCTCAGCCTCCCAAATTGCTGGGATTACAGGCATGAGGCACCGTGCCTGGCTAAACTGTCTCATTTTTTTAAAGATGGAGTCTCACTCTGTTGCCCAGGCTGCAGTGCAGTGGCACAATCTGGGCTTACTGCAACCTCCACCTGCCAGGTTCAAGCGATTGTCCTGCCTCAGTCTCCTGAGTAGCTGGGATTACAGGCGCAGTCACCACACCCGGCTAATTTTTTTTTTCTATTTTTAGTAGGCACAGGGTTTCACCATGTTGGTCAGGCTGGTCTTGAATTCCTGACCTCATGATCCGCTCTCCTTGGCCTCCCAGAGTGATGGGATTACAGGCGTGAGCCACTGTGCCTGGTGAGTTCTCTCTCATCTTAACCAAACCAATGTACATCTTACATATATTGATTGATGTCACATGTCTCCCTAAAATGTACAAAACCAAACTGTGCCCCAACAACTTTGTGCTCATGTCATCAGGACCTCCTAAGGCTGTTTCACGGGTGTGTCTTTAACTTTAGCAAAACAAACTTCCTAAATTGACTGAGTCTTGTTTCAGATATTTGGGGTTCACATTTCAAAGATTTTTCTGGGCCATATGTGATGGCTCACACTTATAATCCCAGCACTTTGGGAGGCCGAGGCAGAAGGATCACTTGAGTCTAAGAAGTTAGGCCAAACTGGGTATCATAGTGAGACCTCATCTCTACAAAAAACAAACAGAATTATTCAGGCATGGTGGTGTGCCTGTAGTCCCAGCTATCCAGGAGGCTAAGGTGGGAGGATTGCTTGAGCCCTGGGAGGTGGAGGCTGCAGTAAGTCGTCTGGCCATCGAATTCCAACCTGGTGACAAAGTGAGATCCTGTCTGGATTAAAAAAAAAAAAAAAAAATCTGATTGGCAATTGATTCCACAGGCCTGGAATCAATACAAAGGTATGGGTCAAGCTAAGGACTTGCGGAGACCAGGCGTCCCATTATACCTGAAGTCTCATAGGCCACCCTAAGAGACAACAGATGGCAACTGTTTCCCTCTTAGACATTTAAAAGGTGCTAGATTCTCAGTTAGTGTAGCTAATAGACATTCTTAATTCAGTTGCAATTTTTCCCCAAAAGAATGGCTTTGCAGGCGGTTCTTTGCAAAGAAAAACATTTGGGGGGTAAAGTATTTTTATTTACTTCTTTATCTGTCGTGTGATGTTGTGCCAGAGTCAGGGTGGAAAGTAAGCCACGTTACAATGTTAAATAAAACCCCTCTAAGATCTTTTTGATTGTACAGCCCCTTAGGAATCTGGGCAAGAGAAGAATAAGGTCAGAGGTTAGTCCTCATAGCATTGCAAAAAGTCAGGACTACACGTGTGTCAGCTAGGCTTTGGCCAATGTTCAACGACCACTTTCGGCTGGAGTGATTCTGGCTGGACCTTGCTGTGAATCCCGCTCTGGGTGACCTTGATCTTCTAAAAGAACTGGACCTCATCCTTGAACAGGACTGGGGGCGCCTTGCCTTCCCCAGGGCGCCAGGGCTCAATTGTGTGAGAATGTGCTGGCACAGCAAACCATCCCTCCTTGAAGCCCTTCTCCCGGGGACCGCGGTGAGCCAGCGCTGAGCACACCCCAAGGACCAGAGACACCCGAGAGCTGCCGACCCAACTCTCACTCTCCGCTGACCCACGCCTGAGGCTAGGCCCCGCCCCCACCAGGCCCCGCCTGGAACCCCCCTCCCTGCAGCCCAATCAGACCCGGGCCCGTCACGCTAGTCCCCGCCCCTCGGTGCCGCCTCATCCGGGCTTCAGGTTCTTCCCCATGATCACGCCCCTCTTGAGCGTCGCCCTATCCGAGGTCACACCAGGCCCTGAAGTCTTCGTCCTCCGCGCGCTGCCCAATCAGGCCCTGCCCCGCCCCCTCATCCGGGAGTCTCCTCCCTTCGCACTCGGCCCAAACAGGCTCTGTCCCGCCCCCGCGGCCCCGCCTCCGAGCTTGGGTACAGCCGGCTGGTTCCTGCTGGGAGCTGCCCTGACCCACCCTGCTCCGCCCCGCTCCGCCCCGTTCCGCCCCCCCCACCCGGCCCCACTCCACCTCCCCTTGCGGGTGGCCGAGGCGTAGAGCCGCGACCCGGGTACCCCTGCGAACATGGCGCTGCGAGCGGCGCAGAGCGTGCGGGCCGTGCTCTGCACCCTGCGCGCGGTCCCGTCACCCGCCGCGTCCTGCCCGCCGAGGCCCTGGCAGCTGGGGGCGGGCGCGGTCCGTAAGCTGCGCACTGGACCCGCTCTGCTTTCGGGTAAGTGCGGCAGGCACGTGGGCGGCCGCTGCCTCCCATCCTGGGCTGCTTGCCCTGGGTCCAGCTGGACTCAGTAGTCACCGGGGTCCCGCTCCTGAGCCACCAGGGCGGAGCGAGCGCAGACCCTGTCCCCTTCTTTCTTCTGCTGGGATCCCTGGTTCTGCCACCGCTTTTCCCTCTTAAGTAGTGGGAGGACCCGCGAGCAGCCTTTGCCCTGGAGGTTGCAGGCAGGCAGGCGGTGGAACCTGCGGGACGCTGAGGCGGGCGTGGCCCGGCAGGTCCCGTGGGCAGGTCGGCCGCTCGCTGCAGAAGCCAGGCGCGCGTCACCTAAGTGTCTCAGTGGCCTTAGTTTATCTCCCTTCTGCGTGCATCATTGAGACCCCAAATGGGGAGGCCTTTGGTTTGCTAAATGGACCGGTACTGAAAACTCCGAAGTAAAATGAAAATTAAAGAACCAGATCTAGACTTTTTTAGATAAAACAATCATAACTTTTAAGTTTCAGCTATTTCCCCAAACCAAGTAAGGTAAAATCTTCTGGACTCTTTACAGAAGTTCTGCTGAAGTCTGTATTGGATCATTCATGTTTTCTTGGTGAAATGAGGCCTAACTCAAAGACTTGAAATAACTGGGAGACCTGCCCATAAATGGCTCAGCAATTTGTGCTAGTTCAGCACAATTAATCGCAGAGGAAAAACAATTTTCTTTTTTATTTTCTTTCTTTCTTTCTTTCTTTCTTTCTTTCTTTCTTTCTTTCTTTCTTTCTTTCTTTCTTTCTTTCTTTCTTTCTTTCTTCTTTCTTTCTTTCTTTCTTTCTT